CCATCTATTATACCCTAGTCCTAAGCAGACCCGTGACTGCACAGGGCCGGGCCATATTTCCATAGCCCCGGATTCCCATCCTGCTGTACCAAGCCTCGATATTTACCCCAGACAGCCCAAAACTTCGTCAGACCGTGATCTTTGGCTCTCCTACTCCGCAGAGCCTCAGTGGACATGGCCATGCGCAGGCTTTCCAGGACCCGTGCGCGTAAAGCTTGCAGGGTGATCACSCTGCCCTGTCGACACCGTTCGTTTCGAAGGGTCCAAATGGCCTAGAGAATAGCCGCTCGTATCACCTCCGAGGCATATAGCTCCCCCTTGTCCTTCCTATCCACCTTGATCAGGGCGCCCAATAAAATGTGTGCCACATCGTCCTCCGTGACACAGAAAGGAGAGTACTTTCCTACTTCTGCGGCCCACCACATCCAAAACTGTTGGAGAACCGGACAGGCGACGAAGAGATGAGGGATGGTTTCCACCTGGCCGCATCCCGCAGTACAACGCTCGTCCCGATAATTGCTTTTATTGGCCTGCCATTGCGCTGTGGGGACCGCCAGGTGGTAGATGAGCCACAACAGACCTGCCTGCTTCTGATTCGACAAAGATTGCAGCACTGCACACTGCTCTCTCCATTCCCTCTGTCGCCACCGGTACAGGTAGATCACGGGAAGCCACTCTCGTTTGGCCCATCGGTCCACCAGTTCTTCACGCAGATCCAATGGGGGGAGGAGGGAGCGGTATATGATCCTGGTAGTCACTTGAGGGAGCCGGAGTTTTTGTTTATTATAATTCTGCKTAGGCCAACTCMATTCTTGCRGGTCAATCGCCAGCTCTCGCCTTSTACTGCAAATCCRAAAGGGTCGGGCACTTCCCARCCCCCCCTCTTTTTTCTTCTCTGCGCATACCGCCACCGTCTCAATTTCATCAGTTCTCCACCGCGTCTCCGCACCAGGTCCTACTCTCATTGGGGCTCCCAGACCCTCATACCCAGTCACCACGTTCCATGCTCGCGTCACCACCTCCTCACCCTGTACCTGTGTGATCTGGTATACCTTCAGGGGGTGTGTCTCTCCCTTGCGTCTCACCCATTCTCCCCCCACTCTATGGTCCTCCCTCAGTGTATCCACCCATTGCGTGGGAATAGCCCGCTGAAGGCCAGATAGGTGTTGCCGCCTCCGGAACTTGTAGGGGAGCCGCACTGCCATGTCAGCCTCTTTCCTCTACTCCCTCTCTTCCTCGTCCCACAGGTGCCCAATCTTAAAAACCCCACATTCCGCCCAATGCTTCCCAAAAGCTCCAGGCTTCCCCTGCCATGGGAACGGATCACCCGTATTGTCACATATGCAGGGGTTGTCAAAGAGGAGTTGATTATAGACATCGTCAGCGGTGACCGGTAACTCCTGTTGTAATTGGAGCTTTTTCCACAACGTCAGCGCAGCGGACCAAATCTGGTTCCTCTTGACGTGGCTAATGAGTCCTGGGCTGGCCAGTGCCACTAAGACCATTTGCTCTGTCATGCGAAGCGCAAGGGCCAAATGCTGAGTGGTAAGGCTCTCCCACGCTGTGCCCACCGTCCCCAACAAAAACGACAGCCGGTTGCGCAGCTGAAGCGTCGTCATCTGCATTTCTGGGTCCAAGATCCCCAGCCCCCCTTGACTCATGGGCTGGGTGAGCTTCGACCAAGCCACCCTAGGGATTACCGACTCCGCTTCCACATCTCCCGCCCACAGTTATCTATGCATCGCTGCCCGCAACTGCCGGAAAACCCGCCTCTTCGGCATGTGGATGGCCCCAGCATACCACATCGTGGACAGCACCGAATTTTTAAGGACGAGGGCCTTGCCAAAAACTCCCAGATGCGTCCTCTTCGCCCATCGCCCCAGCCTCAGRATTGCTRTYGCCGCCAATCCTTCCATCTGCTGAGCACCCCYTCCCACCGGWTGAATCWGGGCCCCCAAAAAACACAGGTTTTCACCATCCGCCAAGGTGGGCACATCCCAGCCTTCTGGGGCAATATAGCCCTGTGGGAGGATGGCCTGCGACTTYCGCCAATTCACCCTGGCTCCTGAGTATAGTGAAAACAAATCCAGATCCATTTGGAGGCGCCTTAATTGCTGTGTGGTAGGAGGGATGACTGCACCGGTGTCATCTGCAAAGGCAGTGGACTTTAGGACCATATGTTGTCTCAACTGCAGTCCCTGCAAAGCTTCATCCCCTCGGAGGAGGTCGTGTAGGGCCTCTATGTAGATGACATACAGAGCTGGTGAAAGCGGGCATCCCTGCCGCACTGATCTGGTAAGTTGCAAAAAACCGGAGCGCACTCCATTCACTTGCATACACGTTCGTGCTGCAGTCAGGAGCAGTCGAGTCCAGTTACAAAAAGTTTCCCCAATGCCCCGCCGGTGTAGACTTTGAAAGAGGAATTTCCATCTCACCCGGTCATAGGCTTTTTCAAGGTCGATTGTAACAAAAGCCAGTGGCTGGTCGCAGACCTCCTGGTGCCTAAGGATCTGTCTAGCCAGCATAATGTTCGAAACAATCTGCCTCCCCGGAACAAACCCCGCTTGAACGAGGTTGATAATACAAGGCAGCACCTCATTGAGCCGGTTCGACAGTACCTTGGCGAGGATTTTGTAGGGAGCATTTTGGATTGATATCGGGTGCCAATTCCTGACATCCTCGCGGGCACCCTTCTTATAGATCAGCACCACAAAGGCATCTGCAAAGCCTTCCGGGAGATGTCCCGCGTGCAAGGCCTCATTGAAGGCCTGCGTGAGGAGTGGACCAAAGAAATGATTTTGTGCCTTATACATTTCAATAGGGACTCCATCCACCCCCGGCGCCTTGAGTCTTGGTAGCTCTCCAATCGCCCTAAGGACCTCTTCTAGCGTGATGTCCATCTCCAAAGGCTGCGCCTGCTCCTCAGTGAGGCCAGGCGGGACGTGCCTCCAAATGTGCTCCTGCGGGGCCGTCGCCATCTGCTCCACAGTCCATCCCTCCTCCTCCATTAACAGATCTGCATAGAAGTCCGTTACAAAGTCCAGAATCCCCAACGTGGTCTCTTGCCTCGCCTGCCGCAGGTCAAAGGGGGTGTCCATTGCCGTCATGAAGGCAATCCCCTGCTTCTTGCCCAGCTCTCTGAAAAATCGTCGAGACATCTTCTCACCCACCACATTCCATCCCACCTTTGATCTGCGCCCCCAGTGGGCGGTTTCCACCGTCTCCCACTCTTGCCACTCCCGCACGGCCTCCACTCGCTCTACCCACCATTCCTCTTCCGTCTGCTCATCCTTGGGGCCACAATTAAGCGCACTGAGGCGGTCGGCGTACTCCTGTCCTGTGGCCAAGTGGGCACGGTAGCTACCGGCCAGCCTATCATACAGACACTTGCGCATCAGAGCATTGCCCTGCGCCACCCACCCCAACTCATCCATTCCTTGGGGGCGTCGCGGCAGCCAATTATCCCACTGTTGTTGAATCAGAGGTTTATACTCTTCGTCCTGAATGACCCATGCGGGAAGGGGCGGTTGTCGATGACCTACCATAACGTCCCCCACCGGAAAGTTGGTTGCGACCTTTACATGGTCTGACAGCGCTGTTGGAAGGTAAGCAATCTCGCTGCCTCACCTGAAGATCGAACTGGAGTCCCACACCATGTCAATCCGGCTCCTTTGGTTTGCCGATCCATACCAGGTGAACTCCCGTCCCGCAGGGAAGGCCGTGCGGTAGACGTCCACACAGTCCAATTCTACCATAAACAACTGCAGCGCCTCCGCATCTGTCGTGGGCGGGCGTTCCTGGAGGGAATCCAGCCCCGGGTGGATAGTGGTGTTAAAAGCCCCAGCAAACACATAGTATTCAACTTCGGGGATTTGGGTTCTAAACTCTGCCCAAAGGTCGGTCCGCGCGCGGGGATCCGAGGGTCCATACACCGACACCACACACCAGCGGGTCCGCCYCCACTGTAGCATCACCCAGGCCCATCGCCCCTGTCTATCCCAGTTCCAGTCCACCAGTTCCCCTCGAAAATGGGGGGATATTAGAATAGCCACGCCCCCCTGCGTTCCTCTATCAGTTGCTCCTTGCGCAGGGGCCCAGACCTGAGGTCCCTTCCACCAGGGGGCGTCGTGCAAACAGAGCCCTTCCCCCAACTTAGTCTCCTGGAGGTAGAGAACGTCGATCTGGTGTTTGCGGACCGTACGCTGCAGCTCCCATCGCTTCGGATTTAGAGACCGAGTCGACAAGCCCTTCACGTTCCAAGTTAACAGCTTGAGCTTAGTTGAACGGTTTCTTCGATCCATCCCGGCAGCCCCAACCAGACGGGTGGATGAAGAAACACCAAATTGTAAACAACAAACCAAGCAAACACAGACAAGCAAAATGTAGTCAAAAAACAAAACACACCGACAAACAAGCAAGCAAGCCAGTTAGCAAACAAAAACAAACAAGAATACAGCCGAAAAAACTACCAGATTCGCAGCGCTAGCTATTCTACTCTAGAGGAGGGAGTGCACTCACCCAGAGGCACTCATAATTAACACAGSGCACCTAAGTCTAACCCTACTACATCCTATCCTCTGTCGCCCACCAACCCTTGGCTTCAGCAAAGTTCCCCAATCCCAGACGCTGGTTCGTAGGTAATATAGAATTGACTTTGGCCAATATCCCCGCCGTAAACTCGTTGACGATCCGATAGTCTGTGGGGCTGGCACGGGGGCCAAAGACCTGATCCAACTTCGTCCAAGTAGCATCCTTGTGAGCCAAGGTCAGAGAGCCCGCTCGCCGGGGGGTGATGGATGTAAAAAAGACCAACAGCCCGTACTCCGTCCACCCCTCGCAGTTGTCTGAAAAAGCGTCCCACCGAGACTTTGGGAAGCACTTTCACTCTGTAGTTAGGACCCACCCAACGACTGACCTGTCTGATAATATTCGGGTTCTTGGGGAGGGAGCGCGCCGCATAGACGAAGAAGTCCGTACTGCCTTTCGTGACCACCTTAATGCCTTGCTCCGCCCACCATAGCATCACCGGGCAGACATAACACTCCCCGACAGCCAATATTTCCTGTAGCGAYCCCTTCAYCGTTGTAKTMATATCCATRTCTGCTTCCATCCCCTCGTTGATATCCATGTCCTCATCCATCGCTCCGCCCCTGTCATCCGTCGAGTCCCCGCCTTCATCCCCTATCATGGGCTCATCCAAATCCGGGGCAGGCTGGCGGGTTTGCACATCCTCCATGCCTTCCACCAGCCCCTCCTCGGCCACTTTATTCTACCACTCCTCTTCTTCAATGCGTCTTCGCTGCCGGGACACCCATCGGTCCTCGTCTTTAAGCGGCTGCACCTTATGACCAGCCGGGGAGCGGGACCGATCCCGCCTCTTCGGTTTTGCGTCCGCCTTTGCCTGCAGCTCGCGTCGCTCCTCTTCTCGATCGGACTGGATCGCCCCTGTTGCTTGCTGTAAGGAAATTCCTACCTTCGCTGGGCTCGATATGGGCGGACCCGAGATCAGCTGCTTCGGCCGACGTCTCGGCATGCCCACCGATCCACTGTCCGATGTCACAGCAGTGGGCTCACATTTGTGGGAGGGGGGAGGAGGGGGGGGGGGGGGGGAGAGGGCCGACAGGCTAACTGCGAGGTCCACCACCTCCACCACCTCCACGTCGTCCGTTTCGCCTTCTTTCGCGCCCCCCGGGACCGGGAT